CGATTAGGTTCTATTATTAGGAAAGAATATATGGAGGTAGCGACCGAGCTATAAGCTAGTTAGTAAGTATTTAAGACCCTTTATAATTAAAGTGATTATTAGGACCTCGGGAGTTGCGTACGAATTTGATACATTACAATAGTACTGGATCTATAACGTACTCTACATATTACTTCTAGAGCCTTACTAATATTACAAAGAAGTAACTTACCTCGAAAGTTATTACCTATTAGCAATATCGACGGCGAGCCCATTTATGAGGTAGACGAGATTATTCAATATATGGGGCTAAAAAAGGAGATAATACTTGATTAAGTGGAAGGGTTATAGTAGCGAAAAAGATACGTAGGAGCCGGCATTATATATTAAAGACGTAGCTTTAATTAGTATATATAAGAATTATTGTTACGAGCAGGACAAGGCAACCAACTGTGGCACAAAGCAAAAGCTTCGATAATGATGACTCCGGCATCATTGTCTCTTGTTCTGCATTATATAGCTACGCGCCCACAGTGACAAGTTGCGGCGGGCGTAACAATTATGTATTAATTAGGTAACGAGCCCTAGCTCCTAAGGAGCCTAAAGACGTAGCTAACTAGCTATTAAGAAGACCCCTAACTAGGAAAGAAGCTCCTCTAGAGCTATATATACGTAGTATGGGAAACATTTATTCGGCGCTATTAGTACTATCGTCTTCCTCTAACTAGTCCTCATACTGCTCCCCCTACTAGGCGAGGAGCTACTATTAATAGATCTAGATAATCGAGTTAGGAGAATATATATGATATTAACAAGGCGATTTACTTATACTATTATAGTGCCTATATAGACGAGCTTATCGAGAATAAAGCGAAGAAGCTATGCCTTAGTATTGCTGCGGTTCGAGGACGAACCGTAAGAGGTATTGTTATACTTGTTACGACCCAACATGAGACCAGGGCGTGCCCCGCTGACGCCTAGCGGCTACGGCGCATCATATATGCAGGACGGGACGGATCATTGGGGAAACCCCAGGAACGGAAGAACTATGGTACAGGTCACGTGATGATAAGAGATATGATAAGGGATAAGGATATGTTGGATATTCGACATATCCAGACAAAGTGGACTGTTCAGCACTGTTCAGTTAGGATCGGACTTGTATATAAGGATGGACTCGAGCTGGGCTCTAGGACAGACTTTCCATAGCTTCTTCAGCAATTAACTTCGTATCAGGATTAACATCCGCTTTCAGCTACTACCTTGACAAGACTACGATTGATCACCGAAGCCTTACCTACCCTTACGATTGACAGACATAGCTTCCCTGAAGCTATCCCCGACTACGATTACTGTTACCAGTTCCGCAGCCTCAACTTCTGCAAACTACCCCTACGACTAGCTGGCCGTAACAATACTATAATTTATTATTACTATTATTAAGATCTGGAGTGGAAACAATAGAGCGGCCGGAGCGCTTTAGTATTTTCTATACGTTTCCTACCGCTATATAGTAGGTATTATAGGCCTATATATTATTAATAAAGACCATAAGCAGCGACAAAGTAACGGCAAAATAACGATGTACGTCCTTATTGCGGCGGTCCTAGTTAGACGTGCGCGCGGTGCTCCAAAGCGTGCGCATAGCAGAGAGGGCGGTATGGGGGACCTTATCCTTACAAGAGTGGTTCTAATTAGTACACTTAACGTATCGAAGTCCTTTTCCTGAGAATCGAGTCAACAATAGTAGCTATAGAGCACTTATAGAGTACCTACCAAGCTGATTAAAGCATTCATGCTCCGGATCGACCGCCTTGCGCGTAATGTACGAGGGGCAGGGGACTTAACGACAGGAGCTAGCCTTAACAAGCTTTTTGTTTTTCTTACGCTTCTTCTTAGGAGTCTGACATAATCAGTAAGAGCACTAACGGAGTACCATCAGAGCACCGATAGAATATATACCTCGGGACGTGAATAAGGCGTCTTCTTAGGCGGATTACCGCCGCCGTTCGGGGACTGCGCGCCCGAGCCGCCAACGATAGCACCCCCGGAGATATTAACGACGCTACTAGTTCGCTAAGGAGGTATATTATAGAACTAGAGTAGAGAAGATCTGGAAAATTATTAATAAGTAGGGATAACGTAACGAGGGAGTAACGAATTCGCTAATAAAACCAGCTAATAACCTATAAATTAAGTGACTACGGATAGGAAGGGGAAGAAGAATCGGAAGGCCTATATAACAGTAACGGAGAAGAAAAGTGGGGACACCGACCGCCCAACGGCCGGAGTAGGTAGCGACGGCCCAGAGGTCGCCGATGTGGGGCCGGGCGGCAACTATTGTTCCGTGTACGGGACCCATACCTGGACAAACGGTCGGCATCTCCGTAAACATATCGACGCCGCCACGACAAAGGGCAACGCTACCATAGGGAAATAACGCAGTACGTTCATTACTACTGAGCTTCGAGGACGAAGCCTAGTTAGAAGGGGCGCCCTATTAGAGCCCTCCCGGATAGGGGCTAGTTAGAGGTAATAAAGAGTCTAAGTAACAAAGGAGCAGCTTAGATATATATATAGCGTAGGGAGTACACGTCGGGGGAGGAGCAGATTTCAGTAATTCATCATTCTACCCCTAACTGCAGTTGGCCTCTGAGAGCTTCCACCCTGCGTCAACACCCCAACTTGACAAGCTGCCCGATCCACTTCCTGGTTGATCCAGCCCACCGCAGCCACCTTCCACCTTCACCACAACATCACCAACCAACCGACAATACCAGTCGTATTGCCCCATTGCTTGCCTCGTTGGTCCAGATGAGCAGTATGTACTGCCCACATAGGTTGACTTATTCCTTGAGGACTTATTCGGTCAACACAATCAGATTGAGGATTTCAGGCTCAGGCATGCCACTCGACCTCATGGAAAACGAGAATTAGTCTGGAATTATTATGTTCAGTCTGCTTTCGTTTACATAATTACCAACGAAAGAAGACCTACGTTAGCTAAGTAGGTGCACAGCGGCATTGCGCGTATATATCCGTATTGCTTGTAGGCAGAACTTCAAATCCATTGCGAGACCGAGCCGTCGGATCCGGCTCGCGAATCGGACCAACTGAACTGAATGTAGTTCGAAGAGCACTAATAAATGTAGCGAATCACACAAGCCCCTATACGGGTACGCAGTTGGCGACTTGTCTGAGCTCTGAAGCCCCACAGACAGAAACTCTCCCTCTCAACAACTGTCGTCCTCTGAATCAGACAGCATGGTAGTTTGATCTTTGGTAGGCAATCCGCCGAGGACTACTTTGCAGCCGGGAGATCGTTCCAAATGTCTCTTGATGTAGCACGCCTTTGATAGTTTTCTTCGACAAATACGGCAACGTCGCCTTGGATCAGGTACGTTATTCTTCTTGGCCCACTTTTTGTGGTAACGCCAACTGTGCTCGTTCCTTTCCTTTGTAGATGCAAATGTCTTGGAGCACTTTTCTCTACGACATTTGACCCGTTGTTCATGTCGTCTCTCGTGTCGCCTATTGGTAGGTTAGAAATTGTGTAAGTTTGGCAAGAGTTGAAGTAGTCGGACGCACCTGAATTTGTCACCCATCTCATACCACTTCTGGTGCTTAAGGCAAAAGACATATCCTGGCTGTGATACTAAGTAGTTTGGTTTTAGCCATGTCCAAAGCCGGCGAGAGGGGTTAAGTACCATGAACGATAAATGTCTGCCTTCCATGCTCCTCGAAGGTACCTGAACAGAAGCCAGCCGGCTCGTGATGAGGCGAGCGTAGGCCAGAAACATGCGGAAAATCCGGCAACTAAGTCGTCGGAGTAGGATCATCGAGAGCACTCCGGATATCTCCTTCAAGATTGGAGAGATTGTATGGTTGTACGGTAGGACCAGGATTATCCATCATGGGCTGTGATTGAGTGTCATATGAATACTCGCTGTCTATCACCGGAACATGGGCCGTATGTCCAGTATAGTGTATGTGAACTTCATCTTCATTGTATATCGGATACTCCGTAGGTTGGACCAAATGGTCGGTCTCGCGGTAGCAGGGTAATTCAGCGACGATATCTTGAATGGTTGGGTCAAGAAAAAGGGCTGAAAACTGATCTGTTTCAGTCAACAGATCGACTGGAGTCACCGGATCTGACGGTATCGACATAGACCCTTCACTGCCTGGAAGCTCAGTGAGCACCATGCTAGGGCTATCCAGGTCCTCACATTGCTCAGGAGGTATCGAAAAGTTCATGATATCAGGCGATCAAATGTGTCGCAACCACCCTAGCGAATGAAAATGTCGCCTACTCCGGCAGCGGTTAGAGCAGGAAGAATGATATTTCGATGGGTAGATAATGTTGGCGACGATCCATACTAAGGATATATACACTCATATCACGCGTCGGCAAGGGTAGTCGCAAATGCTGTGGGGTTTCGATCGGGCCGGTATGCTCGGCATCGGAATCCCCACCACATCAACTGATGTCAACAGACTAGGCCTATCACCACTTCGGACCTTATCTAGATTAGTCTGACTTTTGAGCTTCGCGGAGAGGCTTGTCAATGAAGTGAAGAAGCGCAAAGGCCTGTTTCTGGCCGGCGTGAAAGCTTTGGAAGTCTAACCTTAAATTCGTTGGGACGAGCTCATACTTCACGGAATGGTTGGATGGCCTCCTGCTGCTGATACACGAAGTACCTAAGGCGTACCAGAACGATTGCATCGAAATCTTTGGTCACCTCGTCCCGTGACTTACGGTTATTGCTTGTCGCGACATTTTTCCGTTTTTCTTGGGGCTGCGAATATAATGTAGCTACCTCAGTGCCAACATCAGAGTCGCGCCGAAGGAGGTTGGTGCTTTCGACTTGCAGTTGCTTACCACGGTCCTTTCGCCACATTTGCCGCATCACCATGATGTCCGCTGCAGCCGAACAACGTTTGTACAACACGTTTCTTGATGCTGTGTATAGATGTTCATTTCACCGACGCTAATCGCTGCTACAGCTGAACTTATCTCGATGAAGTCTCGAGTCATCAACAAGTTCTATGAGCCCTTAGTCCTCCTCAAAGCATTGAACGATGAAATGACAAACCTGGCCGAGTTTGTCGACCCAGATGATTTCAACTATCGCGGAGACGTTAAGAAAATCTTCCAGGCCTTTGTATACAAGCTAGCTCATGTTTGCGACAGTATCCCGGGCAACGGGGGCGGCACTGTTACCTCAATCATGTTGCTCCGCGGTTCTGGGAGAGCAAAGGTTGAGTATCACCTTGCATCAAATCAGCGAAGTCCCAATGATCTTGAGAATATTAGATCATACATTCGACATCTACTCGAGCGAGTTGATAGGGCATCAACGTCAGGAAACGTCTCGGAGCTGCGCAAGGACTTGCTCAACGCAGTGCTCTGGTTCAACAGACCTAGAATCAATTCATATATTAGCAGACTCGAAACAGAAATCCAGCTTTGCATCGATAATAACCGAGATGGTAGGTCGAACTGCGGAACAATGGTCAACCAACATTCAGGTACAACTAACTTATGGTATTTCAATAGAGAACTCAATCGTCCAAGCCCTGAGGAGGACTCTCGACCTACTTGGATTTCACCATGACAGAATGGCTACCCAGTCCCAATGTTAGTAATGTGCCATCCAACTGCCGTCAAAGGTGTGTATTTAGGAGTGGTTGACCTAATAGGAGAATGCCAGACCTGCACAAATGTAATATCCTTCTTCACAATCTGATAAGCTTGAAAGCGTCGGAGGTTTGGGGTCACATCGACCAACGAGCCACAGGAATTCGTCTGGGTGGAGTAACAAGCAATTCCTCTTCTTGTTGGCCCGAGACGCGACATATGGTTAACCGTCTTCTGTCATACTGCAAGGATATCGAGTTTTTCATTCTTGCAAAGGACAATTGGCCTGAGATATTCCGTAACTTCGAAATCTCGGCCTGTCCATCAAGTCAGCCGCTCCCACGACCAGGACGGAACAAGAGTATGACCGCCGAAAGCATCGTCGGTCGCATGACCCGCCAAGAACACCTCATCGAAAGGTTTAGAGAATGTGTTCATGACCTGCAAATCATGCATCTGGACCAAAGAATTCAGACAGAATACCAGAAAGACAACTTTCGCCCCATTGTTCACTCAGAGATCTTGCTTCTCAATCACCTCGAGAAAACAGCCGGGAGTGTTTCGCCCGCCAGATTCTTCAAGGATTGGATGTATATTGGTAGTAGCAAGCCCACCTGCAGGCTTTGCGAGTACTATTTCGAGGAGCACCGGTCCGGCGTCGAGCACCGGAGCAGTCATAAGAACCTTTACATCTGCTGGCGCCTGCCTGATGTCCTCCAATCCGAAGGCGATCTAGGAAAAGAAAGGCGACAAATTATGGTCGACAGATTGCTTCAGAGAATTCGGAAAGATGCATTCAATCTAGTGGAGAAAAAGGTGAGGCCAACATTTAGGAATCACGATTCCATCACCTCATCCGTCAGCATGACTCTGCAGGGAAATTGGAGCGACGCGTCCGACATATCGGATGTCTTGTCTTCAATGGGAAGCCTGAGATTGAATAACGACGAACACTCTGAGGGATAATTAATGTAGAGAGTTAGGGACCTAATTGGATTAGCAAGGCATCTTCGCGAAATTTAGGTTTAATATCAGGGTGCTTGTCGCCAATATTATGAAGACGAGATCCCACCGGCGAGCTGCTTGCTGACGGCAGGATTCGCATTCTTATCCGCTAACTGCCCTTGTTAATTAGCGCAGTAACATGGCGGAGCTCAATCATGTGATGCGAGGCACCCGTAAGCGCCGGGGCGCTTTGTTGGTTGAATCCCTCAGGTTCATCTCATGGTCATAGACCCCGCACCTGTTGGTGGCGTGAGGAAGAGGCGCGATGTTTGCGTTCTACAACATGCGACCTCAACACCTTCCCGTTGGTCAAACCCGCAGTCTTCATGCCCACAATGCCTTCCAAAATATTGGGAGTATTTGAGTGGATCTTTAGCCATCCTACAACGGCGGCCATAGTACTTTTGATACCCGTACTGTGCCTGGTTTGCCTCCGGCGGTCAAGTCAAGATGAGCCGCCATCACTCCCCGAGATCGTGCCATTCATCAGCAATACCTACCAGTACATGACAGATAGTAAGACGCTCATGAAGCGTGCAAGGTATTTCAATTACAAATGTTCCAATGCTCATAGAGTTGAAGCGCAGCTGACTCTGATCTTGTTAGTCGCACCATGAAATATAGCAACATCGTCAAATTCTACTTGGGCCCCATGCGCGTTTACTTTGTACAAGGAGGAGAAAGCGTTCAAGCAATGTTTCGCTCATCGACCAGCATCAGCTCGAACAAGTTCATCCTACTGGTCATGCGAAATCTGCAAGGTTCAGCTGAGAAAGATGTCGCCAAGTTCGCAAACGACCAATCAGGGCGACAAAGAATACCTGCGCCAGGCTACGAGAATACACCGCAAGAGGAGCGATTCTGGTACACTTTGCACCATATTACTGTCGAAAACCTATCACGCGCAGAGCCCACTGCTCATTTAGCAGAGACTTACACGAAATTCTTCGACGAGGCTTTGGAAAAGCAGCCTCTAGGCCAATGGGCGACTGTTCGTCTTCTGGATTTCTTGAGGAAAGAAATGTGTTCAAGCGCCATCAAATCGTTTTGTGGTACCAAGCTATTAGATATGGTCCCGGACTATGTTGAACAGTTTTGGCGATTCGACAGCATCGCTTTCCAGGTTGTGTACGGCCTACCGAAGTGGATCAACAGCAAACCGGTGAATGAACGCGATAAACTGAACGGCATGACGCAAAAGTATCTGAAAGAAGCCTTTGCAAATTTTGATTGGGATGGTCCTAGGGCGAAATCTCCCTGGGAGCCCATATTCGGGTCAAGCTACGTTCGCAAGATTATCAAATGGCTTCAGGATACAGACATGGCTCCGGAGACCAAAGCTGGATTCTACATGATTGCAATTTTTGGGTAAGTGTAACAACGTATTGATCTTGGATTAATGTTGATGCTTATCGGTTAGTATAAACGCAAACACCATACCGATTACCACATGGGCGATGATTGAGCTCCTGCGAGATCGCGAACTGTTGCAGGCAGTTCGCAGCGAAGCTCTCCAGACCCTCAACGTGGACCCTGTCACCGGGAAGCGATCCTTCGACGTGTCCAAGCTCGTCTCCATGCCACTGATGCAGTCTGTGTACACAGAGTGCATGCGTCTTCACGTCTCCATTGCGCTCTCCAGAGAAGTCATCGAGACTACCACGCTCCACGGCTTCCGCTTGAAAAAGGGTTCAATGATACAAGCTCCGACACATCTCGTGCACTTGGATGAGAACATATGGAGCCAGGGAGGACATCCTGCTGCGGAGTTCTGGGCAGAAAGACATGTCAAGCATGTCAAAAAAGTGGAAGAAAATACTGGTCGATTTACCACTGAAAGGCAGTTCGTCTTGGCCGGAAAGTCCAACGAATTCATTCCCTTTGGTAAGTTAACCACTTCAATATTTTTCCCCCAATTACTCAGGACGTCTTGGAACACCTTGAACAGTAGACCAACTGACATAATGGCTCGCACAGGTGGTGGACCTTCGATGTGTCCAGGGCGGTTCTTTGCCAAACAAGAAATTCTCCTTACAATTGCCATCCTTGTCACAAAATTTGACATGGAGTTTGTTGAGTGGACAAACTTGGACGGGTCAAAATCTGATCGATCCCCAGTGGATGATGAGCGGTACTTTGGTACAGCTGCTGTTCCACCGGATCGCGATGTCAAGGTACGATGGAAGAAACTTTGGTGATTCTTGTAGATTTACGTCTCAATATGACATAGTACATGATGTAATATACGACAAGGCATGTCGATGGTCCTTGGTAATTCAAGTATGACGTATGTGTTCAGAACTTCGACTGACTGTATCAGTAACGTAAAATCTCTGGTCGATTTGTGCCTTATGTACTTCTACTGACCAACTACTATGAACAAGAAGAAATTCCTACGAAGATAGCCCATTACTAGGGAGTCCTCGTCGGAAATGAAACAAAGACTACTTCTCAGGCGTCACTCGGAAGGATAGATGGGTCCGCATTCTCGACCAACATCTGCACATATTCATCAAACCAAGCACCAGCTCTGGGCGCACCCTCAAGTCCGCATCGTCCATCACTCTCTCCTCCGGGCTTAACCCACACAATGGAGTCGACGTGGGTGTTGGTCTCCGGCGTGCCGGGCTGCATACCGAAGCCGGCGGGGTGGACGTTGCACCATTCACCCCACTCAGCTCTGCTGTTGGAAACACGGCCTTGATCGATGATGAACCTCGATGGCAAACCTTCGGCTTCGAGATGGGGAGAAAGGGATAGCGCGTAGTTGTTCTCGTCATACGAGTTGCTCCATTCTGTGTAGTTTGCGCGAGGATCGGCGTGGAAGGGATTGTAGTTTGAGACGTTGGTGGAGAAACCGCGGATCTTGGTGTTGTTACCAGCTCTCTGGACGACCTTGGCAAAAAGTTTTGCGGCTGTGTTGATTGTCAGCTCATATCCTTATATGTATGTGGTTTCGATGTTTCGACATATACTTACAAGGCGCCAGGTTATCGTCCCAGCCTAACCAACCACCATGAGCAGCATCGATGTAGAGATTGACATGATCATACTGCAAGCTTGAAATGGCATACGCAATACCTTCCTCATACACTGGTTGCGCCTTGGCACAAAACTCGATTCCCAAATTAGTCACAAGGTTCGCCAGGGAATCCGGCTCCAGAACAACCGCAAAGGTCAGGTCACTGGCAGCAGCCAGCTTCTCCGCGTACGGTTTGATGAAAGTCTCCTTGTACAACTTAAGCCCATTGTTCTCGCTGCTAAATTCGCCAGCACTCTCTCCTGCACTGCAGTCTCTGTCGGGGAGGTCGTAGAGCACCAGACCAACAATCTGCTGCTCGCCCGTCTTGGATTGGACGACGCGGGCTCGTTCAATAGCCGTGTCAATATTGGCCAGACCCGCAACGTCCGCGATCCAGACAAATGTACCAATGTCCTGGATGGTTCTGACCTTGCCTGCGTTTACGGTGTCTCCCTTTGCCACGAATGCATCATGAGTCTGTTCAAGCTTATCGGCCCAGTCTGGATTGGCGTAGAGCTTCTTCCCGTCGAATGGGTTTGTTGTGTCGTTGCCGGTGCCTGCACGGCGAAAGTGATGCCCTCTAGTACCAAAGCGTGATGATGCTGATACTGCTCCAAGGGTGTAAAGAAGAGTGAGAAGTGAAGCGAAATGCATTTTGACGACTGACCAAATCGAATGGCGAAACTTCAGCTACGGCAGCTACTCAGAAGGCAGGTTTGCTTGTGGAGATATCAACCAAGTCGCAACATGTTTTCCGTACAGCAAAGTTGCTGCTTCTTATAGCCCGAGAGTTGACACATTGATCTCCTTTGCTATGGCGGCATCTCTTCCAGCCCCGGGCAAACATCGCCATGTCTAGAACGGAAACAAGGGCGCCTCGTCACAATGCGACGGTTTTGCGGTACCAAAGGACCGTAAATACAGCCCTCTATCCGAGAAGCCTATTTGAGAGAGGATCGACGCACGATCCAGGGCCAAGAACCAAACTTGGTGCAATATGTGGTGGTGAGATGTGCGAGATAGATTGCAGTAACAAACATTCGTTTGGTTCCGGCTGCCGTCCCTGGCAGGCGGCTAGATCTGATTAGTCGGAAGATAGCTAAATGCTCGAATTGCCGAGCAAGGCCAAGATCCCTGATTGGAACCGACGGCTTCCCCTCCGAAATCCCAATCCGGAGCCACGTGCCGGGCCGCTCGCCTCTGGACAACTGGCCTCATGAAAATCATATTGTGGGCCTGTAATGGAACGGTAAAGACATCAAGTGTTTCAGAAACATGACTTACTGACGATGGAGGGTGGTGCACGTGGTCTTTAATAGTTCTTGGTTCGGGATATCGGGTTATCGTACCGTCAACCCATGGGGCATAAGGACGATAATACACGGGGCGTACTAGAGTCTAGCTGGCCTACCTACATAGAACTCCTGTGATGTGATGATTGGTTTTGGATAATTTCTCATCGCTTTAATCGAATGGAATTTTACGGAGCGGCAGGCTCTCCAACCAGGAAGGGCTGACTTACACTACCAGCGAGCACTATGCGTGTGGCGACGACTCATGTCGCCGGGCTATTTATTGAATCTGTTGGATCTCTGAGCAGTCGGCAGAAAAGATGGATCTGGAAGGCGGTATGGGCACTTAAAAACGGCCCTTTCACTTACATACCACTTCTGGGAGATCGTGGGCTCTGCCCACAATCTCCTCCCTCCACCTCCAGACGCAGCAATAATAGAGCATTATTGACACTTCGTTCCAACCGTACGGTTGCCCTGCTGACGTGTATACCAACAGAATCCGTTGTATTTAGAGAACCTCGAACCCTATCGTTGTGTTTAGTTTCTAACAAGACACTGTCCATCTTGCGACTTCCAAGTCTTCAAATCGAACATGAAGCATTTAAACTACCAGTACTACGACCCCACTACGTTGTACGATTAATGCACAAACTTGGTGATTTTGTTTCATGTGTTCTTCATATCACACCAACGATATCATAAAGATTGAAACAACCTTGACATCTCGAATCTATATGTACTTCGCCTAGAAGCATGGATCGCGGGTAATAAGATCTTGTTGGAACATGATGATGATGATGATGATGATGATGATGATGATGATGATGATGATGTATTTAACGTCTGGTAACAAAAGGACGTGCCGGGCGCTATGCCGACATGGTCTATACTAATCTAAACTATGTTACAGGCTACCGTCTTCACCTAACGTTCCTATTCAATGACTCGGGCAAATTTCGGAAAAGAAATTAGTCTCCTCTATCCATTGGCATAGAAGAGAGGCTCCCTTAGTAGAACCTAACAAGAAATCAATCCTTGCTTTGGCCATACGTTAGCGGAGGTAGCGCGGTGTAGCTTTGCGTCTACGCTTATAGAAGTAGAAATGGACTGGTGACTTGGGTTTCCCACAGCTATAGTTGAGCAACACATCTTGATGAGCGAATCTCTCGTGGTATGCTGCAAAGTCTCTATGATGGGATCTTGCTACGTATAGCCTTCCTAGTAAGTGCCGAGGGAGGCGGAGTTCGGGCGGCTTGGGGTGAAGAATTATCTCGAGGTCGGCATATTGCCGAGGGCATTGGGATAGCCATTTTCTGGCAAAGGCTTGGAAGGCAGCTGCTTTAGCTTTGCCTTTCTAGGTGCGCTAATGAGGGCTGTGGTTGTGATTTTGGGATTAGTTTGCAGGCTTCCTTGGCTAGAGCATCCGCTTCTTCATTTCCTGGTACTCCCGTGTACCCAGGGCACCACCAAACATAAACCCTGCCGGGGGTTGTCCAGCTCTCTCTTTGTCTCCGAGTCCAGGAGGAAGAGAGCCTATTGAAGGCCCTAAATCTAGCCTGGCTGCTTCCTGTGCTCTGGGAGTATAGTCTAGCCGCGACTGCGAGGTTGTCAAGGTAGATGTGGACGTTATCTACCATACGAGCCGTAGGAGCCCGGGTGGCTTCTATCAGGCCGTGATATGCAGCATATACCTCCGCATCATATACCTCAGTTTGGGAGCCGAGTGGTTCGGATCCGCAGAAGATCTGCCGTGTAGCTTAGTACCCTACCTAGCCTACTCCGGCGGAGGTGCTACTACCGTCCGATATTTAGGACCTATTAGTAAGTTATAGATAATAATATCCCGCTTAGAGAAAGTTGCTATCCTGCTTACAAAGGAGAGGGCCTGTTCTTCTTTAGTCTTATTAGGTTCGTAGCCGACCCTGGCGAGGGCTATCTACTAGTCCGCTAGTTGCTCCCAAGGGGGGAGTTCTAACGGATCGATATATTTAGTGTTTTTGCTTACGAGGCTTACCATTCGTCGTAGCCGTGAGTCTAGTCCTGATTTGTCCCTGAGTCTCGTTCGGAGAGGGTATCGCTCGTCCAGACGATGGATTCTGGTGGACGCTATGTGGAGCTTCGCGTCCAGTATCACCTCTGTTGGGGGTAGAGCCGCCTCGCGCTATAGGATCGGTATAGGCGTAGTTCTGTATACGGGGACCATCGCTCTAATGGCTTTGGTTTGCGTCGCGTCTAGTTGGTATAGTAGATTACTAACGCCGTTTAAGATAGTACGTCTATTCTTTATCCGGCTCTTACCGGGCCACCATACTTTAGATATATAGTACTGAGTAGGTAATATATAAGAGGTGATTGCTCGATGAAGTAAGTACGTAGGCGCGCCCTAGATAGTGTTCCCTAGTCCCCGTAGTCTAATAACTACTTAGTATGCTTTTACGGAGAGGTTTCTTACGTAACTTTTGAATATGAGTTTACGGTCGAAGTGAACGCCGAGCCAGCGTAGAGAAGAGCCTTTTTTGATGACCTAAACTATATAACGTTAATACTTCCTATCTGGTAAACTTACTGTGATTAATAGGTTTCCGTCTTTTCGTCTCTTAGTGAAGTGGATCAGTTCGGACTTATCGAGGTCAAAAGTGATTCCTTCCGTCGCGCCCCATCCTAAGGTTTCTTTGCATTCCTTAGTTAGGATGTTATAGTTGTTCTTTAGTGATGTTGAGCTTACTAAGATAGCAACGTTATCGGTATAGCCGAAACGAGATCGCTTCCTTCCTAAGCGAGCTATACCTAGCTTAAAAAGAGGTTCGATATAGAGTATGAATAGAATGGTAGATACGGGTGAGCCTTGTGGTAGTCCGTATTCGAGACCGAAGACGTCTCC